GCAAGTCTCATACAATTGGACTAGGGATATTTGGATGGATTAGGAAAAATATGAGAACCTTGAACCCCTAAATACCACTGAACCTCCTTTACCAATGGAGCCCACACACTTTCCTCTCTGAGGAAACTAGTCCCCATTTCTTCAGGGTCCCGAATGATCTCATCTGAGGCAGTTCTCTCACAGAGATGACGCTTCTCCTGAAGACCCACTCCACCTAAGTTTTCCAGCAAAGTAACAAGCACCAGTGTCCAGCATGCCCTACTGCCAACATGCCTCCATGCCAAGTGTGAGCTGGAGGATGGGCAGCTGAAAGAACGGCATGATTTTGCTCAGTTACATCAACAGAAATTGAGATAATGTGTGAAGATGAATTATAATTTCTCCTGGGTGGCAACACTGTTTTGGCTTTATTGTCTGCAGGAAAGGGGAGTTCTTGGGTCTTCCACTTGGTCCTTCAAACGTAATTGTTCTCAGTCCACAGCTCAGGAAGCCGGTGTGGGTAGTCTTCTACCTCTCGGGTCATCACTTCAGTCCTGCACTCAGGTGTCCCGTCCCGCGGGACAGTCAACCTAGGACCTGGAGGAGGGGGTGGAAATGGAGGGGACAAGAGACGCGAAGAATGGAGACAAGTCAAAAGCCCGATCAAGTCTCGTTTATTGAATTTCAAACAAATACTTATATATGGTAAAGGAAAGGGGCAGGATCAAGGAATGGGGTGATGTGACGTTGCTGCTGACAGTGAAATAGGGAAACCTATAAAAAATAGATACGTGGCAAAGAGGCGGGTAAATTTAAAAGTGCTGAATCACTTCTATACAGAAGTGAAGGCTCAAGACAGGTCTCGAAACTCAAACTTAGGTCTGAAGATGTCCAACAGGCCCAAAACAAAGAAGGGAAGTATTGTGACCTTGTTAAGATGAATAGAATGCCGTGGCGCGGCTCTCCACACTCAGGAAATGGGGAGGTAACCACAGGGTTGCTCATGGCCCATCAGACCCACTGTGAGATGAACATGGACCACCATGACATACATGATTTCCAGAAGCCCAAGCTGGATGGAATACATTTATTAAAATGGGTGAACTTATCAGACATTCTGAATGTGAACTGTTAGCAGTTGGAAGTAGTTCTATTCTGTTTACTTCATTGACTGATTAGAACTCGGTGGACTCAATGTTGTTTACATTGAACAAGGTTGAGGTGCTAGAAAGCCCCTGATATACTTCAAAGGAAGACATCTGAAGGCTAAGGAACCCTGGTGGTGCAGTGCCTAAGGCTTTTGACTGCTAACCAGAAGGTTGGCAGTTCAAATCCACCAGCCACTCTGTGGAAGGAAGACTAGGCAATCTACTTCCTTAAATATTTACTGCCTTGGAAACCCAAAGGGAGCCACTATGAGTCAGAATCGACTCTGTGGCAGTGAGTTTGGTTTTGAAGGAAACAGAAATTAGAGGAGAGTTTATTATGTTGCACCAAATATTTTCCCTTTGGCTCTTCAGGTCCTTTCTTCGACCTTCTTTACCCTCATCTTTTCCAGAGAAGGCTCACGTACAGCAATGGGCTCCTTTTCCCTTTGGCTTCCACTTGGTTCCATCAACGGGGAACTGCTGGGACATCAGGAGGGAGAAGATCGAAGCTGAGGCAGGTATTCCCCTAGCTCTCTCCCTGCAGAGCTGCATCCTTTGGCTGAAGGCCACTGTTCCTGTCACGTGGTCTTTTCCAACAGCTCCTTCCACAAGTGGATTCTGAAACCTGATCCCTCCCTTTCCCTTTCCAAGCCCAGGAGTGGTAAGGGCGTCCCATATTTAATCACCCCAGGGTCTGTTGCATTGTTTGTGGTTTCCCTCTATCCTGTCCACAAGTTTGTAAATTATCTAGTTTGGATGTGCCATTATTTCCCTGTGAATATCCTGACTGATACAGTAATTAGAAATAGAAGTGGCCTCAGGAAACCCACCAAACCAAACCACTGCCATCGAGTCAATTCTGACTCATAGTGAACCCTGTAGGACAGAGTAGAATGGCCCTATAGGGTTTCCAAGGCTGTAAATCTTTACAAAAGCAGACTGCATCACCTTTCTCCCTCGGAGCAGCTGGTGGGTTTGAACCACCTACATCAGGGTTACCAATCAAATGCCTTAACCACGGTGCCACCAGAGCTTCTAGGCCTAAAGAAAGAGATGCTCAAAATGAGATTTTAAACTAAGGGTGCTCACAGCTTTGAGGGATGCACAACCTCTGTGACATAAGAATTAAGAAAACCCTTTCATTTCCATAAAGAACATGTGATTTTTGGTTAACTTTCTGTTTTCTATGAAAGATGATAAAAAATGAGATACTGTGTGATTAGTCAACCTTGATTGTGATAAGAAAAAAAATGAGCCCTAAATGGTAAGTTTTTTTTAGCATTGAAACTATAATGCTATTTTCAATCACATCACATGCATGTGAAAGCTGGGCAATGAATAAGGAGACCGAAGAAGATTTGATGCCTTTGAGATAGATGTTGGTGAAGAATAGTCACTTGACTGCTAACCAGAAGGCTGGTGGTTCAAACCCACCAGTCACTCCTCAGAAGGAAGGTTGGGCAATCTACTGTAGTGATAGATACTGCCTCAGAAACCCAAGGAGGGGTCACTATGAGTCAGGTCCAACTCGACGTCACATAAGAACAACAATAATGAAGTGCTAAAAGAATGAACAAACCAGTCTTGGAAGAAGTACAGTCAGAATGCTCCATGTCACCGAAGTTGGGCGTGTTATCAGGAGGACCAGTCCCTGGAGAAGGACACCATGTTGGTAAATTGGAGGGTCAACAGAAGAGAGGAAGGCCCTCAGGAAGACTGGCACAGCGGCTGCACCAGCAGGCTCCAGCATGATGGTGAGGATGGTGCAGACCAGGCATGTTTCATGCTGTTGTCCGCAGGGTCACTGTGGATCAGAAGCATGGTACCTCACAGCAACAGCAGTTGGTAAACTGCCTCTGGACTGGGAGGAATTTTGAATCAACAATAAACGCTTGGTAAAAAGCCACAGCTTTGGGTTTCTGGGAGCGCACTAGGCATGTCCCTTGTGGAACACGCAGGAACTATACCTGAGACTGTAGCAAGAGATACTGAGTCTTGTTTGGTAGATGGGACTTCTAAGTCAGTTTGGCTAGCAGTTACCTGGTGTGGCTTTTATTTTCTCAGACTTGAGCTGTCCCTTGAGATGTGGGGTGTGACAGAGACTCCCTTGTGAATGGCTGTGTGGATTGCCGTAAGGAGACCCCTTTGAAGAGAATGCCTGACGCTGGCCTGATACATGCTGTATTTATTATATCTTTCTAAGAAACTCTGTGCAGTCCAGTGTGGCTCATTCAGGTCTTACTGTGCATACAGGTAGTCCTTGACCTATGGTGTATCTGAGTTATGATCAGCTGCACCTGTGACCACTAGTTTTTTATATATTTTATCATTAGCAATATGTACTACAATGTTAAAATATATGTTAAGTGCATATGTAATGTTTCAAACCTCCCAGGACAAAGATCAGATACATAAAGATACTGATGATAAAAAAGCAGTTAACAATGAAAACTAAAATAAAACAAGTATTTGACTTATATCAGAAGCAATTTATGATGAAGTCATTGGAACAGAACACTGTCTAAGTTGGGGATGATGTGTGTATCACTGAACTCAAAAGGACACCCTGCTGGGGCTTATAACCTTTTGCTCAGAGAAGGCGTCACACAGTGGTGTCAGTTTCTCACAGAAGGAAATGCAGGCGGAAGGCAGTGCCTTGAGAGGTCCAGTGGCTATGGCATTCAGTTGCTATGGTTACAGTAGTGCAGATAAAGACTGTAGAGTCCCGCGGTGCCATCTGATGGACATAGAGCAGTGGCCCTCAAAGTGCGTTCTCCTGACCAACAGCGTCAGCGTCACTGGGGGCCGTCAGAGACGCACACTCCTGCTCCTCTGCCCCAAGGACCTCACCCACTGAGCCGCAAACACTGCCCTGCCCAGGTGACTCTCATGGCCACTAGAGCTGAAATACATTCCCTGCACGATGATGACTGTTCCATCAGTCACGGTGTGACAAACGCAGCAGGTGCTGCGCTGGGAGCGGGTGGTCAGCTGTGGAACGCTGGCCTTCCCTAGAGGCCACTGGGCTCAGTTCCCGGCCACTGGACCTCAGGGGCAGCCCCCGGGCATCTCTCAGGGAGCCTCGGTGCTGCTATTATGCTGGCCAGGTTTCAGCAGAGCTTCCAGATCCAGACAGACTGGGAAGAAAAGACCAGGTGGGGTGCTTCTGAAAATCAGCCCGTGAAACCACTCTCCATCACAAGGGCCAGGGCCGCACAGGGACTTGACAGCGGCCGCTGACAGGGCACCTGGTTTAAGGCCCAGGCCCGCCTCCCCGAGCAGTTGCAAGCTGAACAGACGGATGGTGAGGACAGAGGCCCTGAGGAGAGCCGGGGTCAGAGCACGCCCTGGGTGAGGAGCCTGGAGACTGGGCTCGGAGGCTTTGAGATCCGTGGAAGGGCCCGTGGGGACTCGTGCTGACTGTGCCCAGGGCAGGCAGGCCCCTAGGTCAGAGGGAGCGCGTGGGAAACGACATTTCTGCAGACGGGAGCTTACTTTGCACACAGGACAGGGACAGACGTGACGTGGGTATCTTACAGGCCCCCCAGCCCTCTGGGCGACTACCTGGTTCAGGGAGCCGGGATGCGGCAGTGGAGGCAGGGTGGCCCCGCTACGTTGTCTACGTAGTCGCGGGCTCCGACACTCACTCAGTGGCCTGCTCGGGAGCATGCACCGAGCACCTGGTGTACACCCGCCCGGACCTGGACCCGCAGGGTGTCGGCCAACAGCTGCGCCCACCCCGGAGAGTCCGGGTTTGGAGCTCGCCACCCCGCGCCCCACTGACTCCTAAGTACAGACAGCCGAGGCCGCAAAGGATGGTCCGAAAGCGTCGCCTTTATTCCTCGGCAGGCCTCGAAGGAAGGAGGAGGCCGCCTAGCGGGGCGGCGGGGGCAGCTCTGCCGGCCGTTGGTCTCCCCACAGACCCCTCTTCTCAGACGCCTCCGGGGACACCCCGCCCGCGCGCCCCGTGCCCCCGCTGCCCACGTCTCCTTCGCCGCCGGCCTCCCGCTCCGGGGCGCTCTGCGCGACGGCCGGGACCTGGCCCTCGAGCTGGTCCAGCGCCCCCTTCAGCCTGGGAGAAGAGAGACAGCAAGAGTCGGGGTGCCGGGGAAGGAGGCCTGCGCCCCCTCTGGCCCGGGAACCCCGAGACGGACGCGGCCCTGCAGACCCAGCGCGAGGAAGGGGCAGAGCTGGCGAGGCGCCCTCCCACCAGGGCCCTGCCCCTTCCGGGAGAGGCGGTGCTGGGGGTCCGCCCCGCCGTCCCGCGCCAAGGCCTCCTTCCCGCTCTCACCCCACGGCTGTGGCCTCCTGGCCGCGCAGGAGGGGCCTGCCATTCACCGGTGGGTCGCCCACGACCTCGGGCGGCGAGGGCAGCCGCCGCCCCACTTCCTCCAGCTTCGCCTGCACCAGCATCTCTACCAGGGGCGGTCTGTCAAGGGCGGGACCCGGCCTCGGGCAGGCCGAGACCCCTGCCCCGCCCCCACGCCCTGGAGTCTCACCCTCGGTAAGCAGCTGCACCTTGCTGCTTTCCAGGGTACGGATCTCCCGGACCAGTCGCTGCTCCAGCATCTGCGAGGAGAGGCAGCCAGTAGGTCAGTCTGCCAGCTGGCCCTTACTGCTGGCCTTCGCCGCCTTCAAGCCTCTGGGAAAGTCTACTTCTGTTAGGTCATTCATTCATTCCACTGTTTATTAACTGAGCATACGCGTCCCCTGCTGTGGCCCGCAGCTAGTGGAGAGCCTCTCTCCCATGGCCCATGTACCTCTCCAGTCTCCTCTCTTCCCTCTGCCCTCCTGTGCTGAACCTTCACTTTTCTACATACTCAGCAGGCACCATTCGGCCTCAGGGCCTTTACACTGCCCTCTCTCTGCCAGGAACCATTGCACCCGGGCACCTGCATGGAGCCCTCCTTCACTCCTTCAGTTCAGCTGTCACCTGGTGAGCCAGGCCTTCCTCCCTGACACTACAGGACTGATCTACCTACTTATATTCTTGTTTAGAGTTGGCATGCCTCCCTTTGCACCCGGTCAGCCTTTTGGGATGGCAGACTTGCCCTCTGGCGCACCATTGTCGCCCCTGCCTGGAATGGCACCTGATGCGTCCATGGACATTAGGTGAGTGGAGGAAAGACATGAACATGGTGGTTGCCACTGCAAAGGGAGCGGGAGGCATCAGCAGTGGCTAGTGTGATAGTCTGGGCCAGTGATACTAGGTGCGGCAGTGGGGGGCAGCGAGAAGAGGCCAGCTAACAGCAGAGGGGCTGAGTGGGTGGGAGAGAGGGATCAAGGAGTCAGGACTGCCCAGGGAGTGGGACCTGAGCAGTGGGCGGATACAGGTAGAGTCAGGGAAGACACTACAGCTCGGGCGGAGGGGATGGCTCACGTGGAATTCCCAGAGGTCCTTGTGCGGGCCCATCAGCTCCTCCAGCTGTTCTGCCGTGCACCTAGGAGTGGAGCACCAGGAATGAGCGGCCTGGCCCAGGCCGGGGGCGCCTCATCACAGGCCTTCACGTCTTTCTCCCTCTGCGGGGAGAAGCTTCCTGGGCTTCAGCCCACAAGTCTTGACTCCCATAGTTCCTCTTCCAACAGACTTTCCTTGATTCAGCCCCGACCCAGTGGCCCACCAGGCCCAGACCCAGAGTTTAGTTACCCTGGCCTCCTCTGTTTGCTCCTCTCTGGAATCTGAGAATGATGGGCCGAGATTTGCTCCATGCAGTCCTGCAACATGTGCTTCCTGGAAAAGGCGAGGCAACCTTCAGTCATTCTCTGAGTCATGATGTCCCCAGGAGGAATGGGAGCTGGGGCGTCTGTTCCCAACATCCACCCTTCTTTCTTCCATCAACTGAATGTGAACTTGATGGGCCTCTGTAGAGACCATCATGCTGTCCCCACTGAACTTTGACTTCTCAGGAAGCCCTTGTGATGAGTGTGGTGCTTTAGCATCATAGATTCTGAAGTCCTGGCTTTCAAGTCTGGATCTGCTACCCTGGACGAGTCACTTCACCTCTCTGGACCTGTTTCCTCATTTTTAAAATGGTGCTGGTGGAGGCAGGGCAACATTAGTCCTAGCTCCTGTAAATACCAGCGGAAGGATTAGGTAGATAAATGAACGTAGATTGCTCAGCACACGGTGCGGGCATTGTGGTGAAGCACACACATTAACCACCATCAGGCTTCTCTGCACAATTAAAATCATGTTGCATCAATCTGTGAGGCCTCTGGCCACAGAAGGAGCCAAGTAAATGTTCAGAGGGTGGAAAGATGGATAGATGGTTGGGAGGACAGTTAACTGAAAGGATGAGTAGCTGTCTGGAGACATGGCAGCTCGAAGGAGAAATCATGTATGGAGGGATGCCGGCTAGATTGAGAAATGAGGGAAGGACTGCTGGAAGGATGGACAGATGTCTGGATGGACGACTGGGAGTAGAAATGAGTGGCTAGGTGAACAGGTGATTGGAAGGATGGAGAGGGTAGATGAATGGCTGGCTGGCTGGAAGATGGTTACAGGGATGACTGGAGAGATTATGGCTGTCTGGTCGAAGGGATGGATGGATGTGGGTGGATGGGAGAGAGAATGGCTGGCTGGATAAATGCATGGGTAGATGCATGGTGGTGGGTGAATGGATGACTGTAGGCTTAAGTGTGCAGACAGGCAAATGAGTGGGTAGCAGAGGTGCTGGATGACAAACAAGGAAAGGCTTAGAAAAACACCAGGAGAAAGAATTCATTTCATAAATGATCAAACAAGTGAGTTAATATGGACATCACCATGTAATACCAGAGCTGTGTGGGGAAGGTTCTTGTCCAACCACTCTTTCACAGGAGGGAAATAAGGGATGCCATGTCCAAGATTTATTTCCCTAGCTCTCCCTCCCTCATTCGAGCTGGGAGTAAGGTGGGAAAGAATGGGGCAGGACCTCGTACCTGTGGACCTCACTTTCCTTCTCCTGACAGTACAGCTGCAGGATCCTCAGTGTCTCTGTGGAGAAGGGAATCAAGGGGCCCCTGGATAGCTCCTGAGTGGAGGTAATGGACCCTAGATCACGGGGGGCGCTGGAGGGCACTGAGCGGACTGTTTGACCCGGAGTGAGGTGGCAGTGAGGGGGAGACTTGAGAGGGAAGCACCATGACTCAGGTCTCGGTGGCCAGGTGAGCAGCTGGGCTTTCGTTAGGTGCTGAGGTAGGATGAGGGAGACAGGGATGGCAGATACCTTGTTTCTTGCTCAGGACCTCCTCTAGGTGCACTTTCTCACCATTCACTGGAAAACAGTGACGCTTTCAGCCCCCAGGGGCCACATCCTGCGCTCCCCGCTCCAGCCTCATGCAAGGGTATGCCCAAGGTTGCACAGAAGGCATCACCCAGCCCCTGGAGAACGGGGTGTCTCCTAGCCACCCCTACTGCTATCTCCCACTGGGAACTTCCTCCCTCTGTGCCCACGTTCTCTGTGAGTACAGAGTAGAGACCCTGCAGAGTGCATGTGGTTTACTCAGAGGGCAGGGGTGGCAGTAGATCAGTAAAGACACCACGTGGGGCGGAAACAAGGCTTTGAATAAACAGGTCCCGCAGGAGAGTGAGTGACAGGGCAAGGACAGGATTCTGTTTCTAAGGCAGGCCATCCAGGAAGGCCAGTCAAGGTGAAGTTTGAACTGAGAGACACGGGATAGCAAGAGTTTATCTGGATATGTGGGTGAGAGCCTTGCAGACAGAGGCAGGGAGAGGTAGGAGTTCAATCTAAAGTGGTGGCAGGGGACCAGGCTGGGCCCTGGGGCCTGGAGCATGGGGTCTGGTGAGAGCAGGGAGGTTGGAACGTCGTGGGATCGCTTTGTCCCTCTTTGGCCCCACTTACGTGAGTCTAATTCCCTGTGCAGGGCCTCCCAGAGCGTGCGGGCCTCTCCCAGTTCCTCGCTGGCTTGCTTTTTTGCTGGGTCATGGGAGGGAAGGAGACACCATGTGAGCGCAGCCTGCAGCCTGCAGCCTTACTGTTCTCTGGCAGACTGTAAAATTTCACCTCTGTCTTCAAACAACCCGGGGGGGAGGGGGGGCTCTGCATGCTACAGATGAGGAAAGGAGGCTTTCAAAGTCCAGGCCCTTCCCGAGGGCCTCGGTTTACCTTGCTGCAGCTCGTGAATCCGGTTAATGAGGTCCTCAATCTGCGGCTCCAGGCTCCCCTCTGCAGAAGGAAAGGGAGATGGAGCCAGAGAAGACAGGGGCCTTGCTGATCAAGGCAGATGGAGCGGGGCTGGGCGCTAGCACTGTGCCTCTGCCGCATTTATTGAGCACCTGCTGTGTGCCGGGTTCAGTGAGAGGCCTTATGGGGCTTGCATGCTGGGTGGGGGAGATGGACAGTAAAGACAGACATAGGATGTCAACTCATGGTGCCAAATGCTGTGAAGAGAAGTGAAGAGGCTGAAGAGTCAATGTGTAGAAGGTGCTTCCTGAGATATGGGAAGGCCCAGTCCAGTGAGGGGACCGCCCTGAAGTTCTGGGCGGGGAGGTGGCATTCCAGGCAGGAAACACTGGTGCCAAGCTGTGCAGGCAGTGATGCAAATGAGGAGGGTGTCCAAAGGGGCAATGAGGGGGCTGGTGTGGACAGTGGCAGGTCAAGCGGGGGATGTGGTGGCAACCATCTTGTGGCCTTCTGGGCCATGGTGGAGGAGTCTAGATTTTATGCTGAGTTTTGGGGGAGTCAACAGAGACCTCGCCTGTGCTGACCCTGTTAATAGGCTGGCAGGCGGGTTGTCAGTCACTCCTGCCAACCTGGGCTCTGGCACTGTCCTCATGTGAGAAATGGGAACATAGGGCTCTCATGTTGTGGGTGGCAGTGACATCAGCACCCGTCGGGCATCTCCAGCTTCTCACAGGCCATTTCATTGCTTTGTTCCTGGTCCCTGTCCAGCTTCTAGGTCAGCAGGGGAAAGCAGGGTGGAGAAGCTGCCAGCCACTGCAGGGTCTCACCGCCAACCCTCTGGAATGAACGTGGGCCCTCCATTTTCTGGGGTCAGCAGCTCCAGCTCCTGTGACTTGCAGGACAGCGGATGCTCTCCAAGATGTGATTATGGGTAGAGATCCCGGGAGGGTGTCTGTGGCTGACTGGAGCTGTTCAGGGTCACTCTGCACTTGCAGCCCAGCACTGCGTCACCTAATTTTAGCCCAGGCAGCAGTTCCAGTGCACAGCTGCCTGCAGCTGCAGGGCAGGGCTCCCTTTTACTTGGAACAGATCGATGGAGTCTAGCATTTTTAGCTGAGGATGGGTGCCAGGGATGGGGTGGTGGTGGCAGGATCAAGCCCATCTCATGCTCTGCCCCACCCCTCACATGGGTACTATGTGCAGGCTGGCTTACTGGTCCCCTTCAACAAGGAACGCAAGGTGCAAAACCATCTGCGTGGTCTTTTTCCCTTTTTGCATGGAAAGGGCAGGTGTAGACGACACACCCACAAATGTGTTTAAAAAGAAACAAATCTCTTAAGAAGACACTGAGAATGTGGAAACAGTGGCTGTTTGCTTGTAGGGCAGGGAACTGGCGGAGTAGGGCGTGTGGTGGTGTGAGGATGACAGGTTTTTTCCTCCTCTTACACTTCCTGACTTTTGAACTGCGGAGCCGTATTTTTGGTTCAAAGAATGAAACTAAGGAAGAGAAAGTATAATGGGATGGGAGTTGTGGTTGGGAGTTGGGGGGGTGGTTTGAACCGTGTCTGTCTGATGCCCCAGGCCACGCCCCAGAGCCAGGAGGCCCAGGACCTTTCTGCAGCTTCTTCACCATTGCCAGCAAGTCCTCGGGCTTCTTCGGAGACCTGTCCTGTCCTGTGGAGATGAAAACCAGAATTACAGGATCCAGCGAGAGGTCCATCTGGGAAGGGAGGGAAGAAGGGCCCAGGGGGTTCTGCAGACACCCCAGGGCTGGGGCTGAGGATGGGCTGATGGGCAGGTGTCCAGGCAGAGTGCGGCCATAGTGAGACCCTACTCGTCCCTGAGGTTGATGCTGTGTGCTGGATGAATCAGGGTCCTAATGGCCGCTTCTCTCCGAAGGGTCAAAGGACACCACGGACATCTTCTAATGGAACCCAGGGGTGAAAGGAGGGGTTGCACTCTCACTGCTGCTGCTCAAGTTCATCCTGAAGGTCTACCAATGCTATAGGGTGGCCAGATACATATCAGTTTCCTCAGAGTCATTATAGGTCACTGTTGGCAAACTCTGAATGAACTGATGGATCTAGGAAATGCCTACTGACATTAAAAAGACAACCAGGTGTTAGGTGCCTTCTGATGGAAGACCACAACCCTGTTTATGAAGGATTCTTGCCCCCTCCCCTCAAAAAGGAGTCTGAATCTGATCAGGCTTCCATACTTAACTACTAATTTAGAGGGAATACAAGAGGCACATGTTAAAGGACACTACAGGGATGCAATCAACAACATCCAGACTGTGGGAAACTCTGCAAGACACACCACCTGGTTTCTCCAACAGAGTAAAAAGGGGGGAGGGGCAGAGAACCCTTACAGATGAAGAGAGACTTGAGATATAGATATATAAATATATGTAAATTAATTGCAATTAATACACCTTATTTGGATTCTTACTCAAGCATTTTGTAAAAACAAAACATTTGAGACATTCAAGGAGATATGAATACTGATTATTTGAAGATATGGAGGAATTATTGTATTATTTCGTAGGTGTGATGATGGGAATGTGGTTATATTTGTAGTTCTTTTTATAGAGTTATCTACAAAAATAATTGTGATTGAAATGATGATATCTGGGATGTGTTTCAGTGAAATGAGTGGTAGGGAGTGGATGGATGGAGTTGAGGAGGAAACAAAACAGGCCAAAAGTTGGCAACTGTTGGGGCCTGGAGGTGGATTCAAGGGGTCTTACCCTCTCTATTTCTGTGTATATTTGAAATATCCATAATCATTGTCTAAAAGTCCATTAAAAAGTGAAATAACCTCTGGTATAGTTGGGCAATCCTACTTCCGTAGTGACACTGCCTCGGAAACCCAAGGAGGGGTCGCTATGAGTCGAGGCCGACTCGAAGGCAAATTAATAACAACAACAACAACATAGTGAGGAGACACAAATTAAACCAGGGTAATGTTTTGCACCTAACAAACTGCCAAGTACCAAAAATCTGGTAATGTCCAATGTTGGTGAGGAAAACAGACATTCAAGTGCATTCAAACTCACACGACCTTTGGAAGGCAGCTAGCAACATCCAGCAATAACTGAAGGAGCTTTGATGGCATAGTGGATAAAGCCTTGGGCTGCTAACCAAAAGGTTCATGGTCAGATCCACCAGCCCGTCTGTGGGAAAAAGATGGGGGGGCAGTCTGCTTCCATAAAGATTTACAACCTTGGAAACCCTATGGGGCAGTTCTACTCTGCTCTGTAGAGTCACTATGAGTTGGAAACAAGTCTATAGCAGTGGGTTTCGTTTGGTTTGGTAAATTAAAACATCATCATCAACAACAAAGGAACCAGGTAGAATATCTGCAATATGTTGAACTGTTGCAATCAACTTATTAATGATAAAGGTCAAACTCTCTGTGGCCCACTCCTCTCCAGAGAAAAGTGCGCAGAGACTAGGGAAGACAGCTCATAAACCACACAACAACAAACAAACGCAACCCCTGCTCTGTAGTCAGATCCAACTCATAGCAACCCCTCCTTGCGTTTCCGAGACGGTATCACTACATAAGTAGATTGCCCAGTCTTCCTTCTGAGGAGTGGCTGGTGCACGCATCACAGCCAAAAAGTGAATGAAGGCACACCAGAGTCGTCCACAGGGAAACAAAAGCAAAGCCACTTGAGTAACAAGGGAAGGTGTTAGTTTGTGATTTTAAAAAATATTTTATTATAAAAAGTTTAAAACACACAGGAAAGCAGAGAGGACACTGTGGCAAAACCTCATTTAGTCACTGCCTAGATCTGCCAGTGTTTAACATGCACCTGTATTTGCTTCAGCTAAGCTTTTCCCATGCTGAAATATTTTCAAGCAAGTCGCAGGCTTTGAGGTGTTTCATCCACAGATACTTCACTGAATCTCAACCACGAATGGACATTTTCTTAGAGGACCCCAATCCTATAATCTCACAGTGATCCCTTAATATCACCCAGTCCCCAGACCATATGCAACTCTCTCTGATTATTCCCAAATGCCTCATAACAACTGGCTTTGGCAACCATTTCTCTGAAAGCTCCACCTGTGCTTTTCCTGCCACTGTATTGCTGTGCGTGTCACAAGTAACGTGACGTGATCAGTAAAGCTTAAATAATCCAGCTGACATCTTGATTTAAATAAGGGGGGGGGGAATCTGTGTTACAAAACTAGCTGTAGAAGATGAGCCCCTTTGAAACATTTTATTTTGAAATAATTGCCGGTCTACAGGAAAGTTGTGGAAATAGGCCTGTACTGTCCTCCCATGTGCCCTTGGATCAGATTCTCCATATACGAGTGTTTCTGAATCATGACTTGCAGACATGATGGCACATTACTGCTCAACACCCCAGTGCACATTTCCTATATACGAGGATGCTCTCCCAGGTATCTGCAGTAGAATCATCAAAACTCCTTTTTGCTTTATATTTTAAAATTATATAGTAATTACATTTTCCTAAAAGAAAAATCAAGTAATCTCAAAAATGCCTTCACCTCTGCACCACCCCCAAAATCCAGGTCCCGTGCCCAGAGTCACTGGTTAAGCCTTTAGTCTTCAGGCATTATTCTGTGCAGTCCACACAGGGCTATAGTGGACTTTTAAAGTCCAGGTTTGCTTCCTCTCATAAAAACGGGATCTCTTTGAAGATCATTCTGTGTCAATAATGACCTTATCCTTTTAAAAATTAATTTCTAATTAGAATTTTTATTTTCTGCTTCTCAGAAGGAAAAAAAAAAAATCCGCACAGGCATTGTTCTGTGTTTTCTTCCACCAGCACTACAGTGACCATTTCTGGACCTTGCATCTGTATATTACCTGGTATGGTGACTAGAGATGGGGAATAGCATTTTATGTGCTAAAAGCATCCTGCCAAGCTGTCTCCAGCAAAGTCTTCACTGGTGAGCTCAGCTCTTTTCCAGGGTGAAGAGAAGGTCTGCTTCCCCGTAGGGCCATCATTTCAGACATTATCTGTATTTAGCAATCCCATTTGATGTGCTAAAAATGGTAACTCAACATTCTCTTCAGTTTTCTGCACTGCTGGTGAAGTTAATTGTATCTTCAGTTTTGATAGAGTAATCTTAAAAAAAAAATTTTTTTTCAGCATAATGGCAGCCATAGTGGGTACTTAACACATGGGATCTGTTTGCATGTTTTGACTGTTGCTGTCTCTCCTTTGTTTATAGTTGGCAGTCAATGTGTGGCCCTACTCTAAGAGTATCAGTTATTTCATTATTCATACGCTTATTTTATTAAAAAAAATTTATTGAGCACCTACTGCGTACTAAGCAAGCACTGCTTTAGGAGTTGGGGAAACAGCAGTAAATACAGTCACTGTCCTCATGGAGCTTACATCCTAAGACCGACATGAAACAAGTGGTTATTGTTGATGTGTGCAGAGGTTGGTCTGGCAGGATGCAATCCCACTCCTTTGTGAACATAGTGGTTAAAGGGAACAGGGAAGCAAATAACTGTTGAGGCTGTGGGACAGGTCCTTGGGCCTTCACCATCCTATCTGCTCCATTAGGGTACATTTTGAACATTCCTGTAATTAAAAAATACATGACTATAGAAGGTAATGGCCCACTTGTAAGGAACCCTGGTGGTGCAGTGGTTAAGCGCTCAGCTGCTAACCGAAAGGTTCAGACATACCAGTTCTGCCACAGAAGGAAGTGACAGTCCGTTGGTGAAGACTGCAGCCTGGGCAATCCTACCCGGCAGTGCCGCTGTCCCACAGCAGGACGGGCTCGAGTCAGGGGTTTGGGTGGCCTGGGCAGACTGCTGTCTGGGACCTTTCTTCTTTGCTAGATTGCAGTTTCTGTCTTTAAGACAGAAATTTATTTTCTACACCCCCCCCCCCAGCTCTGGTAGCACAGTGCCTAAGGCACTTGACTGCTAACCATAAGGCTGGCGGTTCAAACCCACCAGCCACTCCTCGGAAGGAAGGTTGGGCAATCTACTTCCGTAGTGATACTGCCTCGGAAACCCAAGGAGGGGTCGCTATGAGTCGGGGCCGACTCCACGGCAAACAACAACACAACAACCCCCCCCAGGCGGGGGTGGGGGGGTCATTGCAAGTCACTGCCCTGAAGCAAAGCAGCTGTGTCTGTGGAGCGAGCCAGTCTCAATGTAAAGGATTTGAAAGTCCATGCAAAGTGCTGCCCGGGGGCACCTGGGAGACGGTACTGGGGAATTACTGTGAATTTTCTTAGGTGTGGAAGTAGCAGGGGTCATTCTTCTTGTGAGTTTATTATTTTTTTTATGAACCGCGTACTGAATTATGTAGTCTATTTTCTTTAAAATATTTAAGCAACATACCTCAGAGTAAAGATGAGAAGAGTTAATCCAGGTAATGAAAATGTGTGCGTTATTTCTCTCCACTTTGTGGAACGGTTAAGTTTTTTTTCTTAATAAAAAACTTAAATTTGTACCTTTTTTTTTTTTTTTTTAAAGTACTATTATCCTTATTTTAATGGGAAGAACCTTTCCTCCTCCAGCCGCAGCAGACAAGAGGTATGAACCACTTGCTCTCACTACCTTCAGCCTCCTCATCCTCGTCCACGGCTCCCAGCAGCTCCATTTTCAAAGGGTCCAACCTACCCGCCATTTTCCGATGCGGGGTTTGCGCGGTGTGCTTTGGCCGATGACTGTGATTGGTCCAAGTCCACAAGCGGACGAAAGGCTCTGCAGTGCGCATGCGTGTGGATAGGCACCTCCGTCCGTTGAGCAGGGTAGGTGTGCATAGGCGGGGGAATTCAGCTCTGGGCAAGCGCAGAACATTGGGTGCCCCTGATGGCAACCCACGCGTATGCATGAGACAGCCAGCGACCGGGTGTCTGTCATGGGGGAATGAGTATTGTGCGCAGGTCTGGGCTGCTAAGTCTCTCCCTCTTTGGGGCGATTGTGTTATGCAGCTTGGAAAAATCTGGAACAAGTGGGCACATGTTCTGTAACAATACACAAGAGTTCGAGTCCCTTTTTTTCCCCTCGCACAAATCCTCACGTAACAGTGCAGGGAAGGTGGGGTTATCCCTGTTTCATGGAGTCCATTGAGCCTCGGAAGCCAAGTGATCTTCTCATGCAAACATTTTGGATCTTAGCCACCAGGTTAAGAAGCCAGGCGTTTTGCCTTGGGTTCCCTACAGAGATGCCAGATGCCACCTTCTCATTAACGTAAGCTGCAGTCGACATTGAGGGGGTTATTTTTTGGCATAATAAAGATGAAGACAAGTACCTGAGGGCAATGGAATATCCTTGTGGGGCTTAGTTTTAGGCTTTTTATGTAGTTTTTCCTTCAAGGTATCCTCAGGCCGGTTCCAGGCACATGCTGGCTCTGCCTTCCCATTTCCACCCCTGCGAGCCTGGTTAGCCCTGGATGCTCCATTGGGGAAGCAGACCCTTGATGGTGGGGATAGAGGGTATGGTACCCAGGTTTGGAGGGGACAGCTCTGAGCCGTCATCTGAGTGCGGGTGATGAGGCAGGGGAAGGGCAAGGGGCGGCCGGAGGGGCAGGCACAGGCTTGCCCACTGGTGTGAACATGCTGCCTCCCACCCTGCCATTGTGCGAGGCCCTCAGGTCTTTTTTGCTCCATTCCCCAGGGAAAGAGAGGACTGCCAGATACCTCCCCTCATCCACACCTCTAGGTGTGAAAATGAGAGGCAAAAGCCACAGTTGGTCGCTCCCAGCACTGCCCCATCTGGAAGCTCTACCTCTCAGAGTCCGGTGAAAAAGCCGTTATGGGCGTTCTGGTCCACAGAGGCAGCAGGGGGTGTGGAGTACTTGGGCGGGTAACGAATGAAAAGCCGGTCCTCCTCTTTCTTCACCCAGCGCAGGAGTTTAGTCACTACCAAGATGGCACCTGCCTTGGTCACCAAAGGGCTGAGACATGTATAGAGCTCGAATTTGGAGGTCACCTGGAGGTTTGGGAGGAGACAGTTAGATGGGCCAGACCTGGCCATGCCCTCTCCTTAGTGAGGCTACTTCTGATCTAAAATCCTGGGTCCACTATTTATCTTGAATTTTTAAATACCATTCTCTACTAAAAGGTACAAAGATATTTTAGAATTCTAATTCCAGGACTGGTACAGAGAAAGTACAAACTGAGTCCGGGACATCTTGTGCCTGAAAGTAAGACATGCTAACACAATAATGAGGACATGTCCAAAAGACACAAGAGCCAGCCTGGTTAAATCCGAGACAAGATGAACAACAAAATAAATAATAGCAAAGGAGTTTAGCCCACTGAATCCATGGCCCCGTAACTGATGTACAGTGAAAATTGAATAAATGGAAAAGTTCGCCCTTACAGTAGAATCCCAGTCAATAAATGTAGACAGAATGAGGGAGTAAGAAAAATCACTATTTAACAAACACCAGAGTGCCAACTATTGCAGGTGAGAATCAATGATGGATGTTAAAATTAGTGAGTGGAAGTATGAGAAAGAGTATTGACATAATCACCACAAGACATTAATTACTAATGGGAACACTATAGTAAAGAAGCCAGGTGAACGCAACCCCAGCCAAGGGATCAGTTACAATCAACAAACAGTGGGACTAACTGATACCATGTGCCCCCCAACAGGATGCACAGAAGAGCACAGTGTCACGTCTGTGGTCTTCTTGCTCAAAATGCATGATCTCGATTTAATCATGACAAAACGTGAAAAACCCAGGTTGAGGGGCATTCTACAATTAACTGGCTTTGTCCTGAAAGTGTCAAGGCCATAAAAGACAGAGACTGAGAACTGTGCCAAAACAGACTACGGCAGTAGAATAAGTAAAGGGGACATGTGATCCTGGATAAGATCCTGGATCCATCAAGGCCATTAGTGGGACCAGTGGTGAATCCCAACGATAAGCCTGGTTTTGAAACATTACTGGGTGATTTTGGTAAGCTAACATCTGTGGAAACTATATGAAGGGGATGTAGTAATTCTTTTCCCATTTTTGTGACATATTTCTTAGTCTAAAATGACTTGAGGGACCTCTGGTAGCATAGTGCCTAAGGCATTTGATTGCTAACCAGGAGGCTGGCAGTTCAAACTCCCCAGCCACTCTTCGGAAGGAAGGTGGTGCAATCTACTTCTGTAATGATGCCGCCTCGGAAACTCAAGGAGGGGTCGCTGTGAGTCAGATCCAACTCGATGGCACATGACGACAAAACAAAAAAATGACTTGAAAATAAAAATTAAAAAAAAAAATGCTCAGCCTAGAACAATGAGGCTACAACACAATAGGGATACAACAGACGATTTAATCAGAAACGTGCACCGAGTGGCCAAACCTTGAGAAGGCGCCATTTCTGATGGCGTCAGCTTCACTGAGCCTCCAGGAACAGCTTACCTTTAACAGGAGGAAGTGACAGCAGGAGCCCTGGGGTGACCTCAGGCAGAGGGCACAGCCTGGTACCAAGCCCATGGTGGTCAATGGGTATTGGGGACTCACGGGGTCAAACGGAATCAGTGGCCACTGGGTCATAACAGACACAGGAGGTCTCATATGGGACCTCCTGAAGGTCACAGACACTGCATTGGTTGATAATGGGAGGCCAGCACACAGACCATGTGGCTAATGCAGGCCTTGTAGACTCTGTGGTGGAGTCATTGGTTTCAAACACAAGTATGTAATGGCGGGGACCGTTGCAAGCAGGACACAGCCCACGGACAGGCGTGGTGCGCTCGGTGGTGGCTGTTCTGGCTGGAGGGGACGAACGGAGGGAGCGGGGACAAGCGGTGGGGAATGAGCTCACCCAGGCCAGCAGCGTCTCCTTCTCTGCCACGTGGTAAATGAGACGCAGGGGTCTGGAGGTGCTGTGCAGGCGGGCGTGCAGGCAGTGGTACAAGTCTGACAGGCGGTGCTGCTCCTCCTCCCTGCTGTACGGGGCCTCCAGCTCGGGGCTGCAGTGGAGAGAGGCAGGGGCAAGGTCAGCCCACGCTTCTCAGCTGGCCCATCTCCCCTGTTACTCAAGGGATTTCCATCAAGTTAGGGAGCCACGCCTCCCCCATTAGAGTTGAGGATTCTCGGTGGCTGGAGACCAAGCCCCCCTCATCAGACCAGAGGATTCTCTACACACTGGGGCTCTCCTCCCCATGAGACGTGAGGCTCCCTTGGGGTTGGGGACTGACTTTCCCTCATCAGACTCATTCTTTTCCACCCTTCCAGCATGGCTGCCCACCTCTCCCCAGTCATGCCCATGAGAAGCAGACCCTCCCAGTCACACAAGCCTTCCTGCCCAGCTGAATGCCCACAGGTTGAGGGCCCACCTGGTAAACTGGGGTAGCTGGCGGTGGTGGTCAGGAATGTCCAGTGGCTTATAGAGGAAGTGCCGGAGGCCGGGGGCCCCCACTGCCTGTACACTGTAGGCGGGGGCACTGGCCGACGGGGCATTAGAGAGGCCAGCAACCGCTGCCAGGGTGTGTGTGGCACCAAGGGCGCGCATGCCGTCTTCAACAAGACGTCGGCAGGCGGCCATGGCGTGGAAGGCCTCACGGTCGGTGCCGAGCAGCAGCAGGCAGACAGGCATGGCATCCAGGCGGGCCACGTAGGCATAGAAGAAACCATCGGGGTTGAAGCGGGGCAGGCACACCGGCGCCCACGCCTCACCTGCCGCAAAGGCTGGCGCACCCACCCAGTCAAGCAACAGTTGCAGGTCAGCTGGGTCTAGCCGGCACTCGGTCAGCACAGTCCGTTCCTGGGCCGCTGTTATCAGGCGACCGCCAACTGCCAGCACCGAAAGTGCCAGGCCAGGGGCTGTGCAGCGCCGCAGGAGCGCGCCCAGTGCCTCCCGCAGTGGGCGTGCGAGAGGCACGCAGCGCACAGCCCCCAGGAGCAGCACACCCGGCTCCCGCTCCACACTGTCCAGAAGCCGGTCCAGCGTGCGCTCTGAGCCTGCCAGCAGGCGGCGGAGGTCGTAGTTCTGCTTGTGTGCGAAGATGCGGGTCACGCTCGCACGGGTCAACGTGCTCACAATCTGGGCGTGCACGGCGAGCAGCTCCCCCCGCAGCTGGGCCGCTGACTGAGGGGTACGGGACACGGCCACCAGCAGCAGTGGGCCCTGCTGCAGGAACACCAGCTTGTGGTCCTCTGAGAGAGGGGATGGGGCAAAGAGAGAAAGATGGTGGCTGGAGGGCCCAGGCAGGCAGTTCTGTCCACTTCCCCAACACACGTACATGGCCTGAGCCCACACGGGCACTTGCTGGGGTGAGGACAAGCTAGGGGAGTGTGGACATTTGGAGAGGTAAGTGGGGACTGTCAAGGGATCAGGTAGGTTAAAGTCAGGGCACAGAACTGGGGGACATGGAGCAAGGACCCAGACAGAGTCTTCCAAGTCACACTCCAAGCCCAACACAGACCTTGCAGTCACCCTTTCGGGTGACCAGGAAGCATCTGGGCAGTCACTAAGGATCCCAGTGAGTCAGTCAATTATTCAGAACCCAACTAACCAAAGAGACAGATGGCCTCCTGAAATGGAAGCCAGACCCCTGACTGCCTGGCCACACATACTGACCACCTCTGATCAAGTAGTCCCACAGACAGACCTACCTCCAGCCAGTCACCCCGCGCCCCAGCCGCTGCCCCCCACCTGCCACTGCCCCTTGACTCACCAGCGTAGATGGCCCGGATGGCGTCACCTGCACTCTGCACAAAGGACACGAGGGCCGTCATCACACCCATGGTCGCTGACAGCGCCTCCACGCTGCCGTAGCGGGAGTAGATGGGCTTGCCTGCCTCGCTCAGCACAAACACATGCTTGCGCTGGCTGCGCCAGTCCTCATCACTGGGGTCCCCACTGCTGGGGTCCCCGCCCTGGCCCCCGGGGCCACTCTCAAGGCCACCCATGGGACCACTCCCAGGGGCTGTGGGGCTCCAGAGCTCACAGGTGCCTGATGAGGCCTCTGACTGGGGCAGTGATGACAGCTCGCCGGGCAGCTGGTCTTTGGCCTTGGATCCTGAAAAGGAGCCCCTGGTGGGTCATCTGCCTGTGGATCTTCACAAACCCCAAAGACCCACCAAATCTGCACCAGCCTCCCATGACCCCTGCATGTTGATACAGACCTCTGGGTGTCCCATTCCCCATGCCCCACCCATAACCACTGACTGCTCTAATAACACCCCTCAGTGATACCCACTAACACTTAGGTCTCCATGATTCCCCCTGAAGTGCAAACAATCCTGTATTCATTCATTGTTATTCACTGAACCTCTATGTCACCAAAGACCAGTTATCCCCCTTCCAATGACTGCAGTTAACCACCACAAACACCCAAGTCTTCAACCCATCTTGTCACCTCTGAATGACCACCATTAATATCCACTAACAAACAGGACTTTACTGACCTCCACTGCCATGAACGCCATTAGCATTCACTACAACCCACAACTTTGATGACTGCCAGTACCTTCCCTTATACCTTCCCATTTACTCCATTGATACCTCCTGATCCTCCAATGACGATTATTATCATTTCACACCTATACCTCAAGAAGGTTCCCATAAAGTCCCAATGGCTTCATATCCTCTCAGTGACATTCAATGATCCCCCACCCCAATATCCCCAAAGACCAGTAAACCCACTTCCACTAAACGTCCACTGACACCCATTGACTCCCTTTTCATTCCTCAGTGCCCCATCCTGAATCCGCAATGGCATCTTCCTAACCCAACGATGGTTTAAGCTACTGCCCCGAGTCCTAAACGATTCCTCACTGGCCTCCACAGACATCCTCGGGCCACGATTCCACACTAAGGAGAGGCCTCACCTGTGTCCTCCAGGCCCCCGTCTCCGGGGTCCGGTGGGTCCTTGTGAACCCCTCCACCACTGTCTCCAGCCGCCTCATTGGAGAACTGCGTGGCCTCCAAGTCCTCCGCGTCTCCGGGAGCTGGAGCAGTGGTGTCGCCTCCGGCGTCCATCTGCACATCCCTGGGGGAGAGGAGATACAGGTGGTGACAGACAGCAAAAACTTCTCAAGAGCCTTTGGAGACCCGCCCCCTCGAACCCACTTCTAATGTCCATTTTCCCCACGGGCTTCAACGAGACATTAAAAAACATGACCAAATAGTGACACCTTCCAATACTTTTAGAAAAAGGCAGTCTCCACCAGATGTCAGGAAATAAAGATACATTACACCTGTTTTAAACCCATAACTCCACTAACCGGATATTATTACTTCCCGCAGAGGCTGCAGGATCACACTTCCGGGTGCGGCGGCTGTCTAGCCACACTTCCGGGTATGACGCGACTCTCAAGAGACTTCCGGTTGCAGTGCTTAGTCGCTCCCCGCGGCGCTGCAACCCCATTCGGTCCCACCGCCCACTGGTACTCCTCCCTCACCATTGAGATGGCGCGCGCCACTCCAGAAGCTATGTCAGATCTGGTTGGGAACCCACCGTACTTCCTCTACACTGCTGTCCACTGCGCTGATGTAAGCCAGGCCAATTTCTCCTACCGCTAGGGGTGTGTGTGTGTGTGTGTGGGGGCGCAGCCAATCACGGAATAAGGAGGGTGGGACCACATCCTTCTGGCCCAATCGAGAGAAGCATCGGCTCCGCCCCCACTCCGCCCCCTTTTACTACGACCCGCGCTGTGCGTTTCATTTTATTGAAGAGAGCCCATCACTGACATTTTCCGGTGCCCAGTCGGCAGGCTCGAAACGATTCCCCTCTTTACACGAAGGGTGTTCAGAGGATACCTGTGCGTGATCCATAACGTGCTCCCCTGGCGGTGAGGCTGCCTTACTTTTTTTTTTTGTTCACCAGGAAAAGTAGAGGTTTGGCGAGGGGTGGAGTAGGTTCTGAACAGACAGGAATATTTGACCGGAAGTAAGTGCTTCCGAATGCACTGCTGCGCTTAGCGTGACTAGCCTATGGGAGTCGAATCCTAAATTAAGATGTAGGAAGTATTCGGGTGTCCCTGGATTGAGCCGGTCAGAGTTCGGCGCCCCATAGAGGAAGGGAAACGCCCGCATGGCCTGAGGTCGCGAAGGAAAACCGAATTTGCCCAAACTCGCAAACTCCGGGCCCACCCACCTGCGTAGGCTTGGCAGTGTAAGTGTAGCCATGTAGATTAGGAGCCCTAGTCATCATTGGAGGGGCTCTGGTAGCATAGTGCCTAAGGCACTTGACTGCTAACCAGAAGGCTGGCGGTTCAAACCAACCAGCCACTCCTTGGAAGGAAGGTTGGACAATCTACTTCCGTAGTGATACTGCCTTGGCAACCCAAGGAGGAGGCGCTATGAGTCGGTCCGACTCGATGGCACACAACAACCACGACAGTCATCACTGGAAGCCTGTGGGTGTGGCTTTGAGAGGCTTCTGCGTTCTGGATAGCCGAAAAAAGCGACCTGCCAGCCTCTGCTCGCTGTCATTGGCTAGACTAGAGGAGGTCTGGACTTCTCCGCAGCTAGAACCCTCCCCGGGGGGTGTGTAAGCCAACACCAAACCCACTGCCTTGAATTCCACTCACAGCGACCCTTTAGGACAGAGTACCGACTGCCATGGAGTCGATTTCCACTTATAGCGACCCCTGTAGGGTTTCCAGGCTGTAAATCTTTACCGAAGCTGACTGACTCGTCTTCCGCAGAGCACCTGGTGGATTTGAGCTGTCCATCTTTTGGTTGGCAGCCCAGTGCCTTAACCATAGCGCCACCACAGTGGCACTGCTCCATAGAGGGGTTTCTGCTGTGAGTCGGAATTGATGGCAGTGGGTGGTGGTGGCATCAGGTTTCCAAGGTTGTAAATCTTTACGGAATCAGACTGTTTCATCTTTCTTCCACAGAATGGCTGGTGCGTTCAAACCACCCATAGCTTTAACCAGTATGACACCACAGCATAGACTACACTGGGTAGACTACAGAGGGTATCTACATTGGCATAAAAAGAGGAGCCCAGCTACTGGATCCGGCCTTCCTGTGCTGGTGGCACCTTGAGCCACAGCCTGGAGGCTGTGTGTGGCTTCTCTGTGACCTGGGGTGCAGTGCAGCTAGGAGAAACTGTCCCAGCTTATAACTTTAGTGTGAGGGCAACGGCATATGTGGTCCCATCTGCTTTTCATGCTCCACCAGCTTTGCTCTGGATGTCTCTAACTAGGTCTCCTTTTGCGACTCCCTGTAAGTCTATGTCTTTCTGCCCTAAGGGGTAAAACCACTGAGGATGGGCCCGGTGGAGCCCTCAGCTCTGTTACCTACAGGATTCCATGACTTCCTGGTGCTCCAGAAAAACTCTGCTCACCCTGGGAAGGGGCAGGGTTGCTGCAGCAGGTGGGGTGGCCTGTGGTCCTCACTTGGTGCCCAAGGCCCTGACTTGCTCCTGGTCTGCTAGGCTACCTGGGACAGTTACCCAGTAAGTAAGGTAAGTCCGTGCTGAGAGCATCAACACAAGAGGGCCACCAGTTACCTCAAACAAAGACTCAGATGCCAGACAGACAGAACGTGAGGAAAAGTGAGCATTACAGTGGGAGGAACTGGCAGGGCACTAAATGAATTTCTACCATGTTAAAATTTTGTATGTGGTAACAACTGTATTTTCCTTTTTGTTTTGGACCGATCAAGTGAAGCCTCACATTCAGTTCTCTCTCCTCCACCACGTGAGAACGTGCCAGCAGCGCTGTGTTCACGTGACAGATGTCATCTCTGGTCCTGCACAGAGCAAACCAAAACGTGTTTTCGGCTTGAGCACACCCTGGTGTTCGTATCATGCACTTTGCGATTGCACTTGCTCCTGTTGGGTAGCAGCAGTAGTTCAGTGAACGGTGACAATGTAGCATCAAGGACTGGAAAGGGAGTTTTTAAGTATTCTTTAAAGAGGAAAACACTCGGAGATTTGAGGAGGGCCTGACCATGAGCATTATAGGATCAACGAAATTATTTCTGACTGCCTCAAAAGTACTGTTTATTTTGGCTATGTCAGACCTGAAGAACAAAATTACGTGTTCCAAATCTTTTTTCTTTTTTTTTTTTTACTTACTAACTTTTAAATAGTTCTGGTAGCATAGTACCTAACCCACCAGCCACTCCTCAGAAGGAAGGTTGGGCAATCTACTTTCGTAGTGATACTGCCTCAGAAACCCAAGGAGCGGTCGCTATGAGTCGGGTCCGACTTGAAGGCACATAACAACAGCAGCAACAACTTTTAAGTATAAATTTTTGTGTTAAAGTCCAAATTCAAATGTAAATTGAAGTTCAGATTTATTTGCTACCAAAGCAAATATCAGACACACTGTCATTGAGTTAGTTCTGATTCATAGTTACCCTATAGGACAGAGTAGATCTGCCCCTTAGGGTTTCCAAGGCTGTAAATCTTTATGGAAGCAGACTGCCTCATCTTTCTCCCATGGAGCAGTGGTTAAGCACTAGGCTGTTAATGAAAGGTTGGTAGTTTGAACCCACCAGGTGTTCTGCGGGAGAATGATGTGGCAGTATGCTTCCATAACAGTTACAGCCTTGCAAACCCTATGAAGCAGTTCATCTTGGCCTACAAAGGCACTGTGAGTTGGAATTGAGCTGATGGAATGGGTTTGGTTTAGTTTGGGGGCTTTAACTGGAAGCTTCCCACAGAAGCTTTGGGGTGTGAGATCCACAATGGCAGAGGAAGGCTGTTTGCAATGAGGAGTCCCTGCTTTTTCTGCTGTGAGTCCCTGGGGAGGACCTCTCCTTCCCCTGTCACTATGGAAGTCAAGGATGGTAAAAGTTTCACAACATCAGCTCCATTTCAGACATTGGTGGGTGGAAGAAGTTTTGTTGTAAGTAGTGATTTGCCTCTTGCCATGTGTCTTCAGGTTTTGACCATGGCACTGACCTTCCTCCTGACCTCTGCTTTGCTCCTGCCCCTCCTTGTAACCCCCACTGTACAGGCTTGTGATACTATCATCCAGCATCTTCAAACAATGTATTGCGCATATTGTGTTGGTAAACCTGGACGTGCCTGAGAAGGGCCACTGCTTTGACGATCCTCAGCTTAGGTGGATATCCCATGTCTCCCGGGCCTACAAGAGGCTGAACATGACAGGTCATGGGTTTCCATGAACTACGTCATTTTGAGGCTTGGATGCAGGTGAATGATTTGAATCTTGTTTCTCTAAATATAAGGAGCTTTGGTGGTGTAGTGCCTCAGGCATTTGACTGTTAACCAAAAGGTTGGCCGTTCACACCCACCAGCCACTCCACAGAAGGAAGACTGGGCAGTCTACTGTAAAGATTTACTGCCTCAGAAACCCAAAGGGGGTCGCTGTGAGTCAGAATCGACTTGATGGCAGTGAGTTTTTGGTTTTTATTCCTAAATATGTGGAGGGCAGGGTTTCTCCTGAGTATTTTTATCAACAGTAATTCTTACTGAATATGTGAGAATCAGGAATGAAATTAGAATCAAGTGAATTAAGTCAGAAATAGTTGAAAAAATGGAAGAAGAGTCAGAGAGATTCTGCATTTGGACTTTGAAGATGTAGAAAGGAAGCAGTAAGCCAAGGAGAAAAGTTGGCCTGGAAGCAAGGAACGGTACACTTCCAAAGAACTTTGTAAAGGAAGGCGGACCTAATGACGTCTTGATTTGAGAGCCATGTTGAGCTTCTCGGCTTCAAAAGTGTAAGATAAATTGGTGCTTTTTTTTGTGCTAAGGTTATGGCAGTTTTTGAAAGAGAAATAGAAAACTGATACATAATGAACATGAAGAAATTAGTAAAAATAGCAATAGCAGCAACATGTATTGAGAGAGATTCCTTTGTGCCAGGTACAAAATGTATGTGCTTTCAATTATTTAACTCTGTATTCCCAATGAACTTGGAAGACAGAAGTATTCTCATTTTGCATTGAAGAACCTGAGGGACAGAGGTGATAAATATCCTTTCCAAAACCAAACCCTCTCTTGTCCATTTGATTCTGACCCACAGAAATGCTCTGTGCTACGGAGAGAACTGACTGTGCAG